GAGCTTACAGTGAGCGGAGATTGTGCCACTGCACTCCAGCCTGGTTGACAGAGCAAGACTCCGTCTCAATAAATAAATAAATAAATAAATAAATAAATAAATAAATAAATAAATAAAATACAAAAATTAGCTGGGTGCAGTGGCACATGCCTGTAGTCCTAGCACTTGGGAGGCTGAGGCAGGAGAATCACTGGAACCCAGGAGGCAGAGGTTGCAGTGAGCCGAGATCACATCACTGCATTCTAGCCTGGGCGACAGAGTGAGACTCCATCTCCAATAAATAAACAAATAAAAATAGTATTACTTTTAAAACTTAAGGGAGTTCATGAAACTTCTTGGCTAACAACCCTCCCTGGCTCTCCTCTCTCTCAGAGTAAAAGCCAAAGTCCCCACCAAGGCCCACAAAGCCTAGCATGATCCACCTACATCTCCCCTGTCCCCTTTCATCAGGCGACTCCAGCCACCGTGGCCTCCTCACCGTTCCTCAGACACACCCACAACCCTCCAGATTCACAGCCTTTGCACTTGCTGACCCCTCTTCGTGGAGTACTTTCCCCATAGGGATCTGAATACCTCACTCTCTCCCCTTCTTCAGGTCCCTGCTCAAATGTCACCTCCTCAGAGAAGCCCTCCAGGATTGCCCCGCCTAAGGTAGAACCCACTCTCTACCTCTTATCACTGCCCTATTTTTCTCCACAGCCCTTCCAACCACTCTGCATATTCCACATTTCTCTGCCTAAGGGAATGTCTTCTCCTGGAGAACATGAGCCCCATGAGGGCTTTGCACAATGCCCAACTCACTGCAGGGGCTCAGTAAACATTTGTAGAAACAATCCCTAATGTTGACTAAGCCATTCCTACGTGCAGGTGCCACTCTGAGCTCTTTGCATGCATGTCTTAGCTCATCGAACCCTCATAATATCTCCAAAAAACAAGAGTCTTGGGTTTTTTTATTTTCTTTTGTTTTTGAGATCGTCTCACTCTATCACCCAGGCTGGAGTGCAGTGGCATGATCTCGGCTCACTGCCACCTCCACCTCCCGGGTTCAAACTATTCTCCTGCCTGAACCTCCCAAGTAGCTGGGATTACAGGTGCCCGCCACCATACTCGGTTAATTTTTGTATTTTTAGTAGACATGTGGTTTCACCATGTTGGCCACGCTCATGTCAAACTTCTGACGTCAAGTGATTTACCCACCTCAGCTTCCCAAAGTGCTGGGATTATAGGCATGAGCCACCGTGCCCAACAGAATTGTATGCTTTAAATGGGTGAATTGCATGGCTTCTGAATTATATCTCAATAAAAGTGATATTATATATATTATATTATTATAATATAAT